TCAGCACTCCTCAGGAATGCTCAGGGCTGGTTGCCGGCCAGTAACAACCTCTCCCTTTGACCGGCTGCCATCGAAAGACCCGTGACGTCAAGGTAAGAAAACAGGAAGCGAAAGACCCCCGCCAAAGCAGACGCTGCTCTGCAAAATGACCGACGGCGCTCACGCCTGCCGCGGAATCCCTTCGCAAAGCTTGTGGAGAGCCCTTGTCTCTCCAGGCTCTCTGGGGAATTGACTGGGTATGAACTTCCTGCTGGAATCAATCCACTTCCTCCAGCATGAATAGGCTGAGCGTCAGAGCTGGAGCCAGTCCTTCTCAGTAAATACGTCTAGGAGAGCATTGTACACCCTCCGCTGATCTTGCTTTGATCTGTGCCAGTTCTGCCTGGTTAGAGGCATCATGTACCAAACTGGCATGGATGTAGCTATAAAGAACGTGGTGGCATGGGGTAAGAGAGTGCAGGGTTTTGGTGGGTGGACAAACAGATCAGTATCTGCCGGAGCCCTGGGCTCAGAAGGAAAGAGCTCCCAGAAAACATCACACAAGCGAGCCCAAGGTGGACGGCTCTGAGCAGCAAAACATGCCTCTGAGCCAGACCCGCTCTAGGCATGGCACTTGCCTTACCACAGCATCCAGGAAGTGGATACACCGGAGGAGCTCCAGCCGCGTCTCGCAGAACTGTCGGAAAAGCTGCCGGCCAATCGGTTGCTTGTCACACAAGCTGCTGTAGTCTCGTTCTGCAAAGGAAGAAATGGAAGAATGGGGTTGTTGTCTTTTCACGGGCAGGTGGAAAATGACACATCAGCTGTGTGCACTGTTTTAACTGGAATACAAAGAAAGAAGCAGTTTCTCAACCCTCAAGAACCACAGTGATTTAGTGGGCAGACTACTGGGCCAGGAGCTACAATTCAGAACTTAAGAAACTACAGTCATACGTCATGTTATGGCCACTTCATGTTACGTTCTTTCAGGTTATGTCCTGTGGCGACCCGGAAGTACCAGAAACGGTTACTTCCAGGTTTCGCCACTCGCGCATGTGCAGAAGCGCAAAATGACATCACGCGCATGCGCAGAAGCGGCGAATCGCAACCCGCATGTGCGCAGATGTGCTGCTGCAGGTTGTGCTCTTTTCCTGTGCAAACGGGCCTCCGGAACAGATCCTGTTTACAACCAGAGGTACCACTGTATTGCCCTCACAGAGCTACAGTTTCTTGGGTGGTTAAATAATCAATCACTTTTCCTAGGGAATACTGGGAATTGTAGCTCTGGGAGGGGAACGGGGCCTCCCAATGACTCTCTGCACCTTTATGAAATACAGTTCCCAGGATTCTTTGGGAAAGCCATGCCTGTTCAGAGTTGGCGCAGCAATAAAACTGATAGCACATTTGCAAAGTTAAGTGAGGTCCGGTATAATTTCAAATTGGATTCCTGCATTGCAGAGGGTTGGCCTAGATGAGCCTCAAGGTCCCTTCCAGCTCTGCAATTCTATGATAAGTGATATGAAGCTGCTTAAATGCATAGGGCAGCTGAGGCCTTGGGGCAAGTCCACTGAGATGAATGCTCTTAGTAAAACTTAACTGAATAGCATGCTATAACATTTTGGGCCGTGAGTCATCTGCAAACCCTGCTCTTTAAAGCTGCCTCGTGACTGTTAATGGGGTTCTAAGGCATGGCCAGTCCCGAGGGGTGTGGAGAAGACAAACAAAATTTGAACTGTTAGGAAAGCGATAGCCCCTCCATCTCCACCCCACCCCAAAATATGCCCGCAGGTCGCGCGTAAAGTCAGCGTGGCAGGCGGTTCTCAGGGCTGCCTCCTCCTGGGTGTCGCACGGGGCAGCTGCATGCTGTGCTCAGCTGCGCACTTGCGCATTCCAGGCCTGTGACCTCTGGCTGCCACAGCCATGACACGCTGCGCCTCCTTGCTGAGACCTCCATTCCTGCTCCTCTCAGACCCCCTGCCCTCCCCCTTGGCCAAGGAGGAGCAGGGCCTCTGCGGAAATGCACGTCCGAGCCGCAGGAACATGCGCGCTCTCATAGCCCAGCCCTGCGCCCCCCGCTTGAGAACAAACTTCAGCATGAGGAGGGAGGCGTGCGCAGAAGAAGTCCCTCACACTTCTCAAGAGCCTGGGGGAAAGAGCGGCGTCTTCAAAACACAGAGGGATAAAAACAGAGTCAGCCTAAGGCGTTTTGCGGCCTGAAGGGCAAGAGGGCAACCTCCCTTTCCCACACCAGACCCAGGACCCATCTGCACTACACATTTAAAGCACTACAGTACCACTTTAACAGTCATGGCTTCCCCGAAGAATCCTGGGGACTGTATTTCCTTTTTTAAAAAAAAATATTCATTTTTCATTTTCATTCATTACATACATCTCAAATTCTTAAAGTTCACTATATATTCCTCCATCCCTCGCCTCCAAGTTTTTCCCCAACTTGCGTTTCTGGTTTGTTTCTATTTTCACCCGCTTTGCTATCTCTCAACAGAAAAGGTTATTAATAACGTAACATCAAACCTAAAAACGTAAAATTAAAATTAAATACATCATCTTGTTTCACTATTTTCTAAACATTTTCTGATGCTAATAATGTGAATGTTTATTAAATCCTGCCATCAAGTCTACAGTGGTGCCTCGCAAGACGAAATTAATTCGTTCCACGAGTTTTGTCGTCTTGCGATTTTTTTTCGTCTTGCGAAGCCGGTGTCGGGAAAGTTTTGGAAAAGCTTCAAAAATCACCAAAGTCTTTAAAAACCTCAAAAAAGGCTACCACACCGCGTTCTATGAGTTGCTCCTCGAAGTCAAGTCGCAACTGTGTTTAACTGTGTTAAGAAAAAGGAAAACAAACTTGGAAGACGTTTCCGTCTTGCGAAGCAAGCCCATAGGGAAAATCGTCTTGCAAAGCAGCTCAAAAAACAAAAAACCCTTTCGTCTAGCGAGTTTTTTGTCTTGCGAGGCATTCGTCTTGGAGGTACCACTGTATTGCCTTTCTATGTTTCTGCAAATATAATATGAATGGTTCCCAATCTTTTTCAAAGCCTCTGTTGTCTTTTTCTCTTATGATTTCTGTCATTTTTGCCAGTTCTGCATAGTTCATCCACTTCTCTTGCCATTGTTCTTTATTTGGTGGGACTGTATTTCCTTAAGGGTGCCGGAAATGGCTGGGCGACCCTTATTCCCCTCACAGAGCTGCAACTGCCAGAGTTCCCTGGGAAGAGGAGTTGATCATTAAAGCTGATCAATCTGGAACTGTAGCTCTGTGGGGGAATAGGGGGGTCTCCTCACAACACACAGCACATTTACAAACTACACTTCCAGGATTCTGTTTAAAGCGGTATAAAACTGCTTTAAATGTAAGTGCAGATGGGGCCTAGATTCAGAGCCCTGGTGCACTGAGTCCTCCACTACAGCAGAGGGCAGCAGACTAGCTCAGGGGGCACAGAGCAGCCATGTGGCAAATACAGCACCGTCTTCCAACACCTTGCACCCCACCAATATCTGGTGCCTAAGGTGGTTGCCTCATTCTGCCTCTTGGTAGGGCCAACTTGCTGGGCCCTTTGGGTCAGAGCTGACATGCACGCCTCATCTCCATTTGCAATGTTACATGTCAAACAGATGCCCGAAAGACAGCTACGGTGGGCCTTACCTCTGAGTAGACAGGCTCTGCTAATAGCACACCTTGTACAACATCCTCACATTAGCAAAGGCCACTTAAATAATCCAAGCAGAGTCCAGAGGAAAATAATAATCGCTAATAATACTTTACTGAAGAAACTGGAGAAAAACGGCGTATGATTTGACAAAAGGGAGGTTTTCTCTTTCTTACCTCAGGCCTTCTACATAGCATGGAGACAATCAACCTAACGTACTGAGGAGTCTCGCCTCAGAACTACACAGCCATCAGGGTATGGGCTACCTTGGCAAACATCAATGCGCCCTGTCGCTAAGCAGCACCTCCACCTCTTGGCTTTAATCTAAAAGAATTAACCCGCAAGCTGCGCACAGAATGATCTCTGCTGTTGCCTCTCCACCACCCTGCAAATCCTCTGGCGGGCAAGTCTGGCTGGTTTCTTGCAGCCCCCTTTCTGCCAACCCAGCCTCTTCTCCCAAACTCGAACGAAAGCTCAGCTGGCTGGATGTGCCTGACTCTGCCACTTACCCAGGCCTTTCCGAAGGTCATCGCACTGACTGATGTGCGGGAACTGAGGATCTCTCCTCGCCATTTTCTTACTTCCCTTTCCGCTTCCCTCCGCCTCTGCAAAGATAGATGAGGATGATTAAGTTTTTTAAAGGAGAAAATATTTTTTGTCATTTTATTTAGTGGAAATCTGTTATCTTCCCTCCATGGAGCCCAGAGTAGTGGTTTATCCAAAACTCAACTTTGACCAGGACTATGTGGGTTTAGCTTTAGAAATGGACTACAGTTTAGATGGAGCCAGGAATGGCTTTCTTCTTCTGTACCAGCCTTTGCCAACCTTCATGCCCTCCAGACGTCTGAACTACAATTCCCATCAGGCCCAGCCAGCATATGCATATCATGGGTGTTATGCATCAGAACATATGGAGGGGGGCAGCTGGTGAAGCATCCTTTGCAAATCTCGTCCATCATTTGAGAGGCTCTTTCTGGGATGCCTCCGTTTCAGAGGTTAGCATGCAAGGTTCCTGGAACTTGTAGATCTGTGGATTCTTAGCCAAACCCTATGAAAAGCCAGATTCTGTTATTTACAAAAATTATGGAACAGCAAAAGGATTGAAGGGGCCCCTTAGTGCTGTCTGGAAGCTCAGTTTTCAGTTAACCACAGTTTTAAGCACATTAACTCCGAACCCCTAAACTGTAGTTAATCTTACCTACAGTTTCTTGAACAAGTCAGCTTCACAACTTGTGTTTTAAAATATGACTTTTTGAAGAGAGAGGAGGAGGAAGGAAGGAAGGACATGTATGTCAGTTTTCAGGTATTGGCAAACTGAATATAAAATAGAAGCGAAGTCTTTTGAACTTATTGCAGTCAGGCTGCAAAAGGAGAGGGGAAGAGAGCATTTGAACCCAAGGTTTATTATGAAATCCAAATGCAGTTGTTACAGTGACAGAGTTGTCCACCCTGAATTGATAGGTGTCATAATACGGAGGATCCCCTTTGAAGTAGGACGTCCCTTCCTTCAATTGTTTGTAAACAATAGTACAATTAGTGCTCCACCCCTTTATATTATATTCATATTTCTATCTTTTTCCATTTAAAAAAAAAAATGCAAAAAAAAATTCACTGCTTATTAGAATGATAAAATTTACAGAAGCACAAATCCATATGTATCGGGACCAGAACAAGCAGCAAAGGCTTTTTTTAAACCACCAATAAATTACATTATTATTTTCTAATATTATTTTTATTTATCAGAGGGGAGAGAAGATATTTTGAATTTAGGACAATAGTGAATTTTTGAGGCATTAAATAAACGATGAATGGTTGGACTTTATAGGTAGATTATTTTATGCATTGAAATACCATCACTTCATTATTATTAGTAAACACACACACACACACACACACACACAAATCTACGCATATATAATGTGTGTATATAAATTTGAATAAATTCATAATATTATAACAACCCACAACTTAATGCACATTTAAACTTGGTGTGCATCAGCTTGGCATTTTAAAAAATAAAGATATTTAAAAGGGGTCAGAAAAGGGATGGGCACCAGGAAAAAAAGCTTTTGGCAATCCTACCCGCCATTTAACCCAGTATGTTTTTGACTATACGTGGGTTTGGCTTTAGGGGCCTATCCCTTGAACATAACCCCTGCATAAGTTTGCAAGCTTACTGTAATTGTATTAAAATCTTCTATGTTTATAATTTGTTCTTCTGGTTTATTTATTCAGTTAGAAATGTTTCAAGATGGCACACATAACAATACATACAAGAGCCACAACTAAAAACAGACATGTAAAATTAACCAAAACACACACAAAGGGTTAAGACTTTCAGTCCGGACGGCTGTAGAAACATTATTCTTTCTCTAACTCGTCCATTGTACAACCAGCCTATGCAAACACGTGCTTTGCCCCTTTCTTGGGATAGTCCTAGCAATTGGCGGCACAATGAAAATATCAGATCCTATCTTGTCTGACATTAACCCAGACATAACTGGAAGAGTGGCCTGAGTTTTTGTCATAGTATCTCTTAGGCGGTGAAATGGCACTATTAGCGGGAAGAAAACCCAACGGAAACCCTGCATTATTACATATTTTTACATGGCTGTTTATTTGTAGCATATTTTTAAATATAATATTATAAATATATGGATGTTTTATGATGGCCTGTATTTGTAATGCCTAATAAAGGTTTTGAGAAGCAAGTTAAGACTTTCGGGTAACAACCAAGGACACACAGGGAGCTGCCTTATGCTGAAGTCTGAATTCACTAGTCCCCTTTAGCTCAATATTTCCGGACACTGACAGGCAGAGGACATTCCCAGTTCCTTACTATAGACACCTAGGTGGTTGATCTGGGACCAAGCGCCACCACCCCTTGAACCCCATGACCGAGGGGGCTGGGCCTGTGCAGCCGTGCAAGCATGCTCTGGGGAGTGCTGCCCGAGTTTTCTGGAATTTGCAAAACAAGTGATCATTCACCCTTTTGCTTTCAAGAGCGTTGCCTTTCCATTGAGCTTTGGGGGACTCTTCCGATGACAAGGGACTTTCACTTTCATGCTGAGGCTAAGGAGTCAGAGATTAGAGGTGGTTCCCATTTTCCCTCTAAGAACAATGCGCCATCCTCTTCTTTATCTTGGCTGGCTGCCTTGTGGAGACCCGCGGGCTCGCCAAGACCATGTAAGGCGCAGCGCTGCCTAGGGAATCTCACTGCAACAATAATAACCCATCCTAGCACTTAGTCACGACCAGAGAGAGAAGCAGAGACAGACTTTATATTCAATAACACCATACACCACCTACACAATACACATGTATATATTTTACAAGACAGACATATATATGAAAAAAAACAACAACCCACCACATTAAAATGTAACTGGGGTTTGCAGCACTGTAGAATTAAACAGCTCTCTTTCTTCAATCGTCTCTCTCTCAGTCTGTTTGCCCCTTCTCTCTTTTTTTCATAAATTGTATCTCCATTTTTTTCTATTTTTATGCATTATATTGTGTTTTCTTACATGGTAAGATTAATACATTCCAAAAATAAAAATTAAAAAGAAACAACAGATTTACCAAGATCAAAACAAAATATGTATAAAACCTTAATTCCTAAAAGAAGACTTTGTATTATTTAAATCTTTTTTTTCTTAATTCACAATTTCTTAATTTTCTCCATAATAGGCAAACTATCCTATCAGTGGGTAACTGAAAGAAGGCAAGATCACCAGTGCTTGAAGCCAACGATTCTTCAACATCAACTTTGTTGGATCTGGTCATGTTGTGCGGATGTCCTGATGAATCGTCTTCCAAAGCAACTACTCTATTTCCTGAACCTTAAAATGGAAAGCGTAATGGCTGGCTGGTCCAACAAAAGGGTTTAAGACTGTCTCAAGGCCAAATTCTAAAAAAAAAAACGTAAGTATAAATAAACACCACACCAGCTGGGAAACACTGGCCTGCGAGCGCTCCGATTTTCATGAGAACAGCCTTTTACCAAAAAGGGTGTTTTTTTCAAAGGCTTTCGAAGACACTCGAACTCAGGATGCAAGGGAGAAACGTGCTAAGAGGAAGGCTGCTTGGCAATCCCACACGTGATCAACTCCCACCCGGAATACCAATGCTCCCACTGTGGAAGGACGTTGTGATCCAGAATTGGCCTCCACAGTTCACCTACGGAACTCGTTGTTAAGACTGTGTTTTATGGAAGACAATCTTACTTGACTGCGAGTGATCCAACTTATTTAAAGGACTATGTTGTTGGACAGGTATCACTGTTGGTCTAAGTATGGGAAATGTAACCGATATGCTTTTGTGCTTAATGGAACCATTACGCGTAGTGCTGTATATAAGGAAACCATTACGATTGTAACTAACGCCTTATCTCGGTGGGGAGGGGTGTTATGTAGTGTAGTTTCACCCTGGGCCAACAGGGGGATACTGTATATAGTTTTCACTCAGGTCTGTAGATAGTTTTCACTCAGGTCCGCGGCAGTTATTTTAGGCGGGAACTCTGGGCTGTTGTGGTTACAATGTTGACAGCCGGCTGCCTATAAATACAGGCCGGCTGAGCTGTTCGCAGTCAGTTCTATTCCAGCTTACCATAATAAAGAGCTACTTGGAGAAATCGCTGTGCCGGCTGCTATGTCAACCCACGACTTAACAAGCAGAGATCATTTCGTGAGTAACTTAAGGGTTAATTCTCCTATCAGTAAGTCAGATAACCTAGAGGGATGGAGGTATCGCCTAGCAACAAGGCTGAGTAGCAAGATCTTCACCTGCTCCACTTGCCTGTGTAGTTCTGAGGGAGTTTTTATTCTGTATGTTTGGCTGAATGTCTCCCTTCCATGTACAAGGCCTGGCCTAAGAAAGGCAAATCCTCTCTGTTCCTTTCTCCTGAAATTATACACTTTTTTGCTCACTTTCCTCAGTCAGGTGTTATCAACTTTTCTCTCTGGACTCCACCCATGCGCACGAGTGGGCACACAGCAACCCCTGAGTTAAGAGTGTGGGATCAAGACTGATTAAAAATTGCATGGCTGAGTTCTGGTTCAAATCTCTACACCGTCATGAAGCACCATGCATGACTCCACATGGGCTTGCTGTGAAGTTAGAGGGGGAAAGCCATGTGCAATGCATGTACAATGCATGAACTTCTTGGAAGGGATATCAGTGTCATGTAGTAGCACATTTAGCTACTTAATTCTCTTTTTATCCAGCTCTCCATCCAAGTAGTTCAAAGTGGCATCCATTTTAAAATCACAACAACCCTGAAAGGGAGACCAAGCTAAGATATAATTTTCAACAAAATATAAATATTTTTTAAAGAAACAGTGGCCTCCCCAAGAACAGCCACTGAGCATCTTGGCCAAGTGAGGATTCAGATCAGTTCTCTCTTCTCAGAGGCTGGGTTTGCATGTAATACTAAACCAAGCCATGGCTTAGCTCAAACTAAGACATGTGTGGGTTTCTAGAGCAAAGATTTTGGTCTCTGTATTCCTCCCTCAGTCCTGTCGCCACCACGCCTCATGGGGCTGAGCCTCCATCCAAACCCCGGACTGTGGTTTGTCTTGCTCCAGATAAACCATGAGCTGCGATCAAAATGGCTGTGTTCCACCTTCACGGTCAGAGGCAGATGCCAGGAATCACGAGCGCGAAGGACACTGTGGCACTCAGGTCTGGCTTGCAAGCTTCCCACAGGCAGGCGATCAGCTACCGTGAGAATAGGATGCTGTACGGCAAGAGTTTTGTTGGCCCAGAAATGGAAGCAAGAAGAAATACTGAGGAAAGAAGAATGGCAGATGAAATTAATGGACTACGCAGAACTGGACAAAATGACAGGAAGGATTTGAAACCTGCGGGACCAGAGATTTACAGAAGATTGGAAGAAATATACGAGCTATTTGAAGAGCAATTGTAATCAACAAATTATGCTAGTAGGACTACAAGAAGTTTTGTAAGGAGGAATATACGAAATATTGAAAAGAAGAGAGATATTAGTTATGATATTTAAATGTAATAGTGAAAGTAAGAAATGCAAATTAAGTGAAAAAGATTGGAAATTTTTCAGATGTGATTGATGGAAGTCAAAAAATTGTATAAGATATAAAAGTATGTTTAATAATTGTTGAAAATGATATGCTAAAAAACCTAACTTTATATATAGAGAGACCATATAAAGAATAGGATGCTGTAAGTTGGTCCTTGGCCTGATCCCACAGGGCAGTGATGAGCTTAAGATCCTTTTAACCAGCAATATTGAGGATTGAACTTGGGCCCTTCTGCATGCAAAGCATGTTCTCTACCCTAGTTCTACGCTCTACCCATTTCAATAGCCTTAAAAAGGTAAAGGTACCCCTGCCCATACGGGCCAGTCGTGCCCGACTCTAGGGTTGCGCGCTCATCTCGCTTAAGAGGCCGGGAGCCAGCGCTGTCCGAAGACACTTCCGGGTCACGTGGCCAGCGTGACGAAGCTGCATCTGGCGAGCCAGCACCAGCGCAGTGCACGGAAACGCCGTTTACCTTCCCGCTATAAAGCGGTACCTATTTATCTACTTGCACTTTGACGTGCTTTCGAACTGCTAGGTGGGCAGGAGCTGGGACCGAACGACGGGAGCTCACCCCGCTGCGGGGATTCGAACCGCCGACCTTACGATCAGCAAGTCCTAGACAATGAGGTTTTACCCACAGCGCCACCCGCGTCCCTCTTCAATAGCCTTATACAGTATTTAAACAGAGGCTCCCCAGAAAACATCACACAAGCGAGCCCAAGGTGGACGGCTCTGAGCAGCAAACATGCCTCTGAGCCAGACCCGCTCTAGGCATGGCACTTGCCTTACCACAGCATCCAGGAAGTGGATACACCGGAGGAGCTCCAGCCGCGTCTCGCAGAACTGTCGGAAAAGCTGCCGGCCAATCGGTTGCTTGTCACACAAGCTGCTGTAGTCTCGTTCTGCAAAGGAAGAAATGGAAGAATGGGGTTGTTGTCTTTTCACGGGCAGGTGGAAAATGACACATCAGCTGTGTGCACTGTTTTAACTGGAATACAAAGAAAGAAGCAGTTTCTCAACCCTCAAGAACCACAGTGATTTAGTGGGCAGACTACTGGGCCAGGAGCTACAATTCAGAACTTAAGAAACTACAGTCATACGTCATGTTATGGCCACTTCATGTTACGTTCTTTCAGGTTATGTCCTGTGGCGACCCGGAAGTACCAGAAACGGTTACTTCCAGGTTTCGCCACTCGCGCATGTGCAGAAGCGCAAAATGACATCACGCGCATGCGCAGAAGCGGCGAATCGCAACCCGCATGTGCGCAGATGTGCTGCTGCAGGTTGTGCTCTTTTCCTGTTGCAAACGGGCCTCCGGAACAGATCCTGTTTACAACCAGAGGTACCACTGTATTGCCCTCACAGAGCTACAGTTCTCTGGGTGGTTAAATAATCAATCACTTTTCCTAGGGAATACTGGGAATTGTAGCTCTGGGAGGGGAACGGGGGCCTCCCAATGACTCTCTGCACCTTTATGAAACTACAGTTCCCAGGATTCTTTGGGGAAAGCCATGCCTGTTCAGAGTTGGCGCAGCAATAAAACTGATAGCACATTTGCAAAGTTAAGTGAGGTCCGGTATAATTTCAAATTGGATTCCTGCATTGCAGAGGGTTGGCCTAGATGAGCCTCAAGGTCCCTTCCAGCTCTGCAATTCTATGATAAGTGATATGAAGCTGCTTAAATGCATAGGGCAGCTGAGGCCTTGGGGCAAGTCCACTGAGATGAATGCTCTTAGTAAAACTTAACTGAATAGCATGCTATACATTTTGGGCCGTGAGTCAATCTGCAAACCCTGCTCTTTAAAGCTGCCTCGTGACTGTTAATGGGAGTTCTAAGGCATGGCCAGTCCCGAGGGGTGTGGAGAAGACAAACAAAATTTGAACTGTTAGGAAAGCGATAGCCCCTCCATCTCCACCCCACCCCACAAATATGCCCGCAGGTCGCGCGTAAAGTCAGCGTGGCAGGCGGTTCTCAGGGCTGCCTCCTCCTGGGTGTCGCACGGGGCAGCTGCATGCTGTGCTCAGCTGCGCACTTGCGCATTCCAGGCCTGTGACCTCTGGCTGCCACAGCCATGACACGCTGCGCCTCCTTGCTGAGACCTCCATTCCTGCTCCTCTCAGACCCCCTGCCCTCCCCCTTGGCCAAGGAGGAGCAGGGCCTCTGCGGAAATGCACGTCCGAGCCGCAGGAACATGCGCGCTCTCATAGCCCAGCCCTGCGCCCCCCGCCTTGAGAACAAACTTCAGCATGAGGAGGGAGGCGTGCGCAGAAGAAGTCCCTCACACTTCTCAAGAGCCTGGGGGAAGAGCAGGCGTCTTCAAAACACAGAGGGATAAAAACAGAGTCAGCCTAAGGCGTTTTGCGGCCTGAAGGGCAAGAGGGCAACCTCCCTTTCCACACACGACCCAGGACCCATCTGCACTACACATTTAAAGCACTACAGTACCACTTTAAACAGTCATGGCTTCCCCGAAGAATCCTGGGGACTGTATTTCCTTTTTTAAAAAAAAATATTCATTTTTCATTTTCATTCATTACATACATCTCAAATTCTTAAAGTTCACTATATATTCCTCCATCCCTCGCCTCCAAGTTTTTCCCCAACTTGCGTTTCTGGTTTGTTTCTATTTTCACCCGCTTTGCTATCTCTCAACAGAAAAGGTTATTAATAACGTAACATCAAACCTAAAAACGTAAAATTAAAATTAAATACATCATCTTGTTTCACTATTTTCTAAACATTTTCTGATGCTAATAATGTGAATGTTTATTTAAATCCTGCCATCAAGTCTACAGTGGTGCCTCGCAAGACGAAATTAATTCGTTCCACGAGTTTTGTCGTCTTGCGATTTTTTTTCGTCTTGCGAAGCACGGTGTCGGGAAAGTTTTGGAAAAGCTTCAAAAATCACCAAAGTCTTTAAAAACCTCAAAAAAGGCTACCACACCGCGTTCTATGAGTTGCTCCTCGAAGTCAAGTCGCAACTGTGTTAACTGTGTTAAGAAAAAGGAAACAAACTTGGAAGACGTTTCCGTCTTGCGAAGCAAGCCCATAGGGAAAATCGTCTTGCAAAGCAGCTCAAAAAACAAAAAACCCTTTCGTCTAGCGAGTTTTTTGTCTTGCGAGGCATTCGTCTTGCGAGGTACCACTGTATTGCCTTTCTATGTTTCTGCAAATATAATATGAATGGTTCCCAATCTTTTTCAAAGCCTCTGTTGTCTTTTTCTCTTATGATTTCTGTCATTTTTGCCAGTTCTGCATAGTTCATCCACTTCTCTTGCCATTGTTCTTTATTTGGTGGGACTGTATTTCCTTAAGGGTGCCGGAAATGGCTGGGCGACCCCTTATTCCCCTCACAGAGCTGCAACTGCCAGAGTTCCCTGGGAAGAGGAGTTGATCATTAAAGCTGATCAATCTGGAACTGTAGCTCTGTGGGGGGAATAGGGGGGTCTCCTCACAACACACAGCACATTTAACAAACTACACTTCCAGGATTCTGTTTAAAGCGGTATAAAACTGCTTTAAATGTAAAGTGCAGATGGGGCCTAGGATTCAGCCCTGGTGCACTGAGTCCTCCACTACAGCAGAGGGCAGCAGACTAGCTCAGGGGGCACAGAGCAGCCATGTGGCAAATACAGCACCGTCTTCCAACACCTTGCCACCCCACCAATATCTGGTGCCTAAGGTGGTTGCCTCATTCTGCCTCTTGGTAGGGCCAACTCTGCTGGGCCCTTTGGGGTCAGAGCTGACATGCACGCCTCATCTCCAGTTTGCAATGTTACATGTCAAACAGATGCCCGAAGACAGCTACGGTGGGCCTTACCTCTGAGTAGACAGGCTCTGCTAATAGCACACCTTGTACAACATCCTCACATTAGCAAAGGCACTTAAATAATCCAAGCAGAGTCCAGAGGAAAAATAATAATCCTAATAATACTTTACTGAAGAAACTGGAGAAAAACGGCGTATGATTTGACAAAAGGGAGGTTTTCTCTTTCTTACCTCAGGCCTTCTACATAGCATGGAGACAATCAACCTAACGTACTGAGGAGGTCTCGCCTCAGAACTACACAGCCATCAGGGTATGGGCTACCTTGGCAAACATCATGCGCCCTGTCGCTAAGCAGCACCTCCACCTCTTGGCTTTAATACTAACAGAATTAACCCGCAAGCTGCGCACAGAATGATCTCTGCTGTTGCCCTCCCACCACCCTGCAAATCCTCTGGCGGGCAAGTCTGGCTGGTTCTTGCAGCCCCCCTTTCTGCCACCCAGCCTCTGTCTCCCAAACTCTGAACGAAAGCTCAGCTGGCTGGATGTGCCTGACTCTGCCACTTACCCAGGCCTTTCCGAAGGTCATCGCACTGACTGATGTGCGGGAACTTGAGGATCTCTCGCCATTTCTTACTTCTCCCTTTCCGCTTCCCTCCGCCTCCTGCAAAGATAGATGAGGATGATTAAGTTTTTAAAGGAGAAAAAATATTTTTTGTCATTTTATTTAGTGGAAATCTGTTATCTTCCCTCCATGGAGCCCAGAGTAGTGTTTATCCAAACTCAACTTTGACCAGGACTATGTGGGTTTAGCTTTAGAAATGGGACTACAGTTTAGATGGAGCCAGGAATGGCTTTCTTCTTCTGTACCAGCCTTTGCCAACCTCATGCCCTCCAGACGTCTAGAACTACAATTCCCATCAGGCCCAGCCAGCATATGCATATCATGGGTGTTATGCATCAGAACATCTGGAGGGGGGCAGCTGGTGAAGCATCCTTTGCAAATCTCGTCCATCATTTGAGAGGCTCTTTCTGGGATGCCTCCGTTTCAGAGGTTAGGCATGCAAGGTTCCTGGAACTTGTAGATCTGTGGATTCTTAGCCAAACCCTATGAAAAGCCAGATTCTGTAATTTACAAAAATTATGGGAACAGCAAAGGATTGAAGGGGCCCCTTAGTGCTGTCTGGAAGCTTCAGTTTTCAGTTAACCACAGTTTAGCATTACATCCGAACCCTAAACTGTAGTTAATCTTACCTACAGTTTCTTGAAACAAGTCAGCTTCACAACTTGTGTTTTAAAATTGACTTTTTAAGAGAGAGAGAGGAGGAGGAGGAAGGAAGGACAGTATGTCAGTTTCAGGTAGTTGGCAAACTGAATATAAAAAATAGAAGCGAAGTCTTTTGAACTTATTGCAGTCAGGCTGCAAAAGGAGAGGGGAGAGAGAGCATTTGAACCCAAGGTTTATTATGAAATCCAAATGCAGTTGTTACAGTGACAGAGTTGTCACCCATGAATTGATAGGTGTCATAATACGGAGGAGTCCCCTTTGAAGTAGGATCGTCCTTCCTCAATTGTTTGTAAACAATAGTACATTAGTGCTCACCCCCTTATATTAATTTCATATTTCTATCTTTTCCATTTAAAAAAAAAATGCAAAAAAAATTCACTGCTTATTAGAATGATAAAATTACAGAAGCAACAAATCCATATGTATCGGGACAGAACAAGACAGCAGGCTTTTTAAACACAATAATTACATTATTTTTCTAATATTATTTTTATTATCAGAGGGGGAGGAGAAGATATTTTGAATTTAAGGAAATAGTGAATTTTTGAGCATTAAATAACGATGAATGGTTGGACTTTATAGGTAGATTATTTTATGCATGAAATACCATCACTTCATATTATTAGTAACACACACACACACACACACACACACACGCATATATAATGTGTGTATATAAATTTGAATAAATTCATAATATAATACACCCACAACTTATGCACATTTAACTTGTGTGCATCAGCTTGGCATTTTTAAAAAAAAGAATTTAAAAGGGGTCAGAAAAGGGATGGGCACCCAGGAAAAAAAGCTTTGGCAATCCTACCCGCCATTTAACCCAGTATGTTTTGACTATACGTGGGTTTGGCTTTAGGCGCTATCCCTGGAACATAACCCCTGCATAAGTTGCAAGCTTACTGTAATGTTTAAATTTCTATGTTATAATTTGTTCTCTGGTTTATATATTCAGTTAGAAATGTTCAAGATGGCACACATAACAATAGCATACAAGAGCACAACTAAAACAGACATGTAAATTACCAAAACACACAAAGGGTAAGACTTCAGTCCGGACGCTGTAGAACATATTCTTCTCTACTGTCCATTGTACAACCAGCTATGCAAACACGTGCTTTGCCCCTTTCTTGGATAGTCTAGCATTGCGGCACAATGAAAATATCAGATCCTATCTGTCTGACATTAACCCAGACATAACTGGAAGAGTGGCTGAGTTTTTGTCAATAGTATCTCTTAGAGCGGTGAATGGCACTATTTAGCGGGAAGAAACCCCAACGGAAACCCTCATTATTACATATTTTACATGGCTGTTTATTTGTACATATTTTTAAAATATATATATATATGGATGTTTTATGATGGCCTGTATTTGTAATGCCTAATAAAGGTTTGGAGAAGCAAGTAAGACTTCGGGTAACAACACAAGGACACAGGGAGCTGCCTTATGCTGAGTCTGATTCACTAGTCCCTTTAGCTCAATATTCCGGACACTGACAGGCAGAGGACATTCCCAGTCCTTACTATAGACACCAGGGGTTGAATCTGGGACCAAGCGCACCACCTTGACCCCATGACCGAGGGGGCTGGGCCTGTGCACCGTGCAAGCATGCTCTGGGGAGTGCTGCCGAGTTTTCTGGAATTGCAACAAGTGATCATCACCCTTTTGCTTTCAAGAGCGTTGCCTTTCATTGAGCTTTGGGGGACTCTTCCGATGACAAGGGACTTCACTTTCATGCTGAGGCTAGGAGTCAGAGATTAGAGGTGGTTCCCATTTCCTCTAAGAACAATGCGCCATCCTCTTCTTTATCTTGCTGGCTGCCTTGTGGAGACCCGGGGCTCGCCAAAGACAATGTAGGCGCAGCGCTGCCTAGGAACTCACTGGCAACAATAACCCAATCCTAGCACTTAGTCACGACAGAGAGAGAGCAGAGACAGACTTATATTCAAATAACCCATACACACCTACACAATACACATGTATATATTTACAAGACAGACATATATATGAAAAAAACAACACACCACAATAAAGTAACTGGGGTTTGCAGCACTGTAGGATTAAACAGCTCTCTTTCTCAATCTCTCTCTCTCAGTCTGTTGCCCCTTCTCTCTTTTTTTCATAATTGTATCTCCATTTTTTTTATTTTTATGCATTATATTGGTTTTCTTACATGGTAAAGATTATACATTCCAAAATAAAATAAAAAGAAACAACAGATTACCAGATAAACAAATATGTATAAAACCTTAAATTCCTAAAGAAGACTTGTATTATTTAAATCTTTTTCTTAATTCACAATTTCTTAATTTCTCCATATAGGCAAACTACTATCAGTGTACTGAAAGAAGCAAAGATCACCAGTGCTGAAGCAACGATTCTTCAACATCAACTTTGTTGGACTGGTCATGTTGTGCGGATGCCTGATGATCGTCTTCCAAAGCAACTACTCTATTCTGAACTTAAAAATGGAAAGCGTAATGCTGGTGGTCAACAAAAGAGGTTTAAAGACTGTCTCAAGGCAAATCTAAAAAAAAAAAAGTAGTATAAACACCAACAACTGGGAAACACTGGCCTGCGAGCGCTCCAGTTAGAGAACAGCCTTTACCAAAGGTGTTTCAAAGGCTTTGAAGACACTCGAACTCAGGATGCAAGGGAGAAACGTGCTAAGAGGAAGGCATGCTTGGCAAATCCACACCGTGATCAACTCCCACCCGGAAACCAATGCTCCCACTGTGGAAGGACGTGTGGATCCAGAATTGGCCTCCACAGTCACCTACGGACTCGTTGTTAAAACTGTGTTTATGGAAGACAATCTTACTTGACTGCGAGTGATCACCGAAGAAGACGACGAAGAAGAAGAAGAAGCAGCTTTGACCCTCCTTCCCCTCTGCAGCAGCAGCAGGAGGAGAAGGAGCTGACCGCTGGAGGCATGCTATGTTCGGTTCCACGCTGTTGGGACACTGGGGGGCCAGCAGAACAGATGGTTTACGACTGATCCAGGAATTGGTGTTGTGTTCTATGTGTGCCCCAGGATAGATGTTGCACCACTGAACTCTGGCCTTTCCCATAAACCTTGCCGATTCTCCTTCTCCTTCTTTACCTATTACCTACCCATTTCTGTTCCCCACGTCACCAGAACAACCAGCCAGAGGTGGTTTTAGGGTCAGGGCCATCTTTAGCATATGTGCCGCCAGGGTGCAAAGATCCGCCCTGCACCCCTTTTTTTAGAGGGGGGCAAACTCAAAGTTGTTGACCTTTCTTGGGGGGGATCGCTCTCTCACCTGTAACAACGACACAGTGGGAAAAAACTACTTTTGTTTGACGCTATGGAGTAACAGAGCGACGGAGGAGGGGAGCGGGGACTTTTGCTCCATTGCTTTTCACTGCCACCAATCGAGAGGGACCAGTATGCAGTAGGTATACATTTTGCACCGCGCCCCTTGCATCCCTGGGTAAAGACGGCCCTGTTTAGGGTAGCATGCCCAGTGTGGTCCATCTGGGTGCCACTCTGCAGGGGGCGCCACAACAACGCTGTAGAATGGAGTGTGAGAGGTGTGGGGGGCCTCACCAAATTTTAGCATGACCCAGGGTGCTGCTGAAATTTGAGGGCCCAAAGCAGCTGGATGTGTGTTGCTGGAAAGGTGTGGCTGAAACATGGGCAGCCATGCCATGTGGCAGGAGAGTAGGTCCATTACTCATTTCTGTGGCCTTCTCTGCAAAAACAATCAATCAATCAAACCCCAACCCTCCTGGATGAGGGAGACATGTGGGTTCCATAGGCTGCGTGCACACCATGCATTGGGTGGAAGACTGTAGCTCAGTCTAAGAGCATCTGCTTCCCCATGCACAAGGTCCCAGGTTCAATTCCCGGTGTCTCCTAGTAGGGTTCAGAGAGAAGCCTGCCTGAAAAGTGACTGCCAGTCAGTGCAGACAATAATGAGCTATATGGGCCAATTGTCTGACTCACTATAAGGCAGCTTCCTAGGTTCCTAACATACAAAGTGCACAACTTTCTCCAAGAATACCGGAACTGCAGTTTGTTAAGGGTGCTGAGAATTGTGGCTCTCTAAGAGGTAAACTGGGATGCGGGTGGCGCTGTGGGTTAAACCACAGAGCCTAGGACTTGCCAATCAGAAGGTCAGTGGTTTGAATCCCCGCAATGGAGTGAGCTCCCGTTGCTCGGTCCCTGCTCCTGCCAACCTAGCAGTTCGAAAGACTATCAAGCGCAAGTAGATAAATAGGTACCTCTCCAGCGGGAAGGTAAACGGCGTTTCCGTGCGCTGCTCTGGTTCGCCAGAGGCGGCTTAGTCCTGCTGGCCACATGACCCGGAAGCTGTACGCCGGCTCCCTCGGCCAATAA